TTCTAATGCATCAACCGATGCTTTCTCGGAGGGCTCACCATCATTCTTCCTCAGCATAGTGGGAACAAACATACATAGTGAGAACAAACGTACCAAAATCATCCTCCGACAATGAACAAAATAGTAACATCGCCTTGTCTTCATCCTCAACCATAATATCCATATTGGCCATATCCGAAATTAGCTTTGTGAAGTTGTTAACATGCTCCCGAATGGAAACTCCCCTCTTCATCAGTTGTTAACATGCTCCCGAATGGAAACTCCCCTCTTCATCTTGAATTGGTAGAACCTCTTCTTCAAGTAAAGTCGATTCTCAATGCTCTTCGTCAGCTCCCCTCTTCATCTTGAATTGGTAGAACCTCTTCTTCAAGTAAAGTCGATTCTCAATGCTCTTCGTCAGATATTTTTCATTGAGCGTTACCCACAATCTCTCTGTCAACGTCTCGTTCATCATATCATAAATGAGATCCGGCATCAAGCATGACCGAATAAGCACACAAGCCTTACTATTCATTTTCTTCCAAACCTTATCCTCCACATCTTCGGGGTTCTCTTGTAGCTCAAGAGTTTCCTCCAAATTTTGTGCATCCAAGGCATCCATTACTTAACACCTTCACAAACCAAAATTGATCTTGCCGTCAAACTTTGGAACATCATTTTTTGTATTATTGATGCTTTGCCTTCGTCAAAGACGACCCCGATGTGCTTGTTTCACCCATATTGTAGATCTACCTCTCCAAACAAGAATCCAACAACGAATCCTTCGAACAAACTCCCAAATCCAACTCGGACTCTGATACCACTTGTTGTACGCGGCGGAAGCCGATTCAGCAAGTCAATAGCACACACAAAAACCAATAATAGACCATAATAGCACAAACAACACCCAATCACAGCAAGAACAAAAGATATACGTGGTTCGGCAAATTGCCTACGTCCACGAGGTAAGGAGGGGAAGTTTTACTATTAGAAATCAAGGGGAATACAATTAGGGTTACAAATCTTACCGCAAACCCACAAATAAGCCCTCTTAATCTCTCCAAATAGCTCCAACAATAGAAGCCCCAAATCTCCTCTTTCAGCTGCTCAAAATCCTCTACCTTAAACCCTGAAAATGAGTTAAGGGTATATATACAACTCCCAAACGAAACGGGTCTGGAAACCAAACCCAGCCCAAAACTGCTTCGACGGTCGACTGTGACGGTTGACCGCGCAGGTATCGCGGTCGACCGCCATTTCTCAAGTCTCTGGAACCATCACGGTCGACGTGACGGTCGACCGCCTCAACTCCAGAAACTTCTGTAGTTCTGGGCCGGTCGACCGCCAAAGGTGCAGAAACATAGTGAGGGTCCCGTGCACGAATGCGGTCGACCGCCAAGCTACCAAAATGGATCCTGGGCTCCATCAACTGCTTTTCCTGCCAATCCTACAGGAGGCTTCAACAACTTGCTGGTGACGACAAAGTGAGCAAGATTAATTTGTATCTATGCGATGAAAGGAGTAGGAAAGACACAACTTGTGAATAAATTTTATGACCAGCCCCATCTTAAGGATACTCATGACATACTCTGGATCAATATCAACAGTTTACACAATGTGGTAAATACTAAGGGCTATTGCGAAGAAGCTGGAACTGTGCTGGAATGAAAATGGGTAGGAAAACTATTTTCTTGCAACAAAATATGGGGGAAAGCGGAGTAAAATGCAAAATAGCAGCCAACCTACAACTTAATTTCTGTTTCCTTTTCCTAAAACCGAGTCAATATTTTCAACTTCCAGTCCAAACTTGGATTCTTTGGAAACCAAATACCACTCGTTTTAAGGGGTAAACAAACGTAAAAAATCGATCGTGTGAGAAACCATTCGAAAGAGATGGAAATAGGTTTCGAACCGAGATTTCTGTTTTGCGTGTGTTGAAAAACAACCGAACAGCCCAAGGCTCCAAGGTTTTATGTTGCTATGCGACAAAATTTCAAATAACTAATTCTGTAGATATTGTTAGATTAATCTTGTTAAACGTTATTTTTTTGTATTTACTTCTACATTTGATCTGGTCACTAGTTTGACCTATTCCCTAGGATGACCTATTCTCTAGCTGAGCTATTCTTTAGGAAGCAACGTAGCCAAGAGATTAGCAAGGAAACTGTTGCACTTTGATTTGTATAAAAAGGGACCCTAAGCCCTCAAATAAGAAGTAGTTCATTCCATTTTCACTAAAAGCCATACAGTGTACTCGTGTGTTTACTTCTCCTTCCTCCTATTTTAATTCTTCTCCTTTCTACTTAGTTCTCCAAGCAAAGCTGTTTTTGTCTACAGATATTCATGTCCAAATGATCATAAACAATTGTGCACAACTTTATCGCCCATGGCAGGGAATAAAAGAGATTAGGTCGAAAAATGATTTGATTATTGAACAAGGTAGTTCACCAACGAATTGAATAAGACAGATAAAAGCATAAATTTGTATATACCACCAATGTGGTGAAAGTCACCCTTTTACAAACATGTCACTTCTATATCTTTAACGTTAAGTTTCCCAGGCTGTGCAATACAGCAATACCAATGGAACAAAGATATTAGGTAAGTGATGAGGCAAGGATTACATAAGGAGGTAGTAGATGACATGTTGCTATACTAATAAAATTGATTATTTCTTTAATTGAAATATTAAAAAGCCAACAGCTTTGGTGCTCCAATTGAGTACGGAAGCGGTTGGTGAAGTTTGTTTCCTTGAAAATCTCTCTCACATCCTAAATTTGAGGGATAAGGTAGTTGAGAGGAGTTCCACACCCAAAAGAGTAATTTCACTTAGATAAAAAGGTTATTTTAGGAAGTATAAATAAGAAGAGAAATATAATTTGTGATTAGTTACAACTATACAACTAATGAACGAGTCTCTATTTTTTCCGTCCTTTTCTAGCATTCTTCCTTCTTCGTTTCTTATTGCTTTTGAACTATAAACTCTTCCAAAACTTATTCATGTATTGCATTATTTTCTGTCTTTTATTTCTCTTATTCGTGGTTAATTTTGCCAAAAAAATATCTAATTTTCCTCATACACCATGTTAAATATAAGTGATTAATTCTCTTTTATTTCTTCTATATCTTTTTTTATTTTCTATCTTTTTATCTTTTTATTTATTTTATTAAACAACTTGGTTAATGTTATTCTTTCACACACACACACACACACCACACACATATATATATTATATATATATATATAATTATATATATATATATATATATATATATATATATATATATATATATATATATAGCAAAACTTCTGTCAACTTAAGTGGACGTCCACTAAGTTTCTTATCCATTGATGATCACTTTATTGAGCTACATTGTGGATGATCCGTTCCGCTCAACTTGATCTACATATTATAAAACCCTAACACACCAAATTTGGGGTGAACCCGTCGTAGTTTGACCCTTCATCCACTGCGTATCAATTTTAAACGGTTTCGAGTGAATAGAACTTTTTACATGGCTCGACGAGGGTCAAACCACAACGAGTTCACACCAAATTTGGTGTGTTGGGGTTTTAGAATATGTAGATCAAGTTTAACGGGAGCGGATCATCCATAATGTAGCTCAATCAAGTAATCATCAATGGATAAGAAACTTAGTGGACGTCCACTTAAGTTGACACAAGTTTGCTCTATATATATATATATATATATATATATATATATATATATATATATATATATATATATATATATATATATATATATATATATATATATATATATATATATATATATATATATATATATATATATATATAATATATATATATATATTCATTCCCTTGAGAGCAAACGCGAAAAAGAATTTCAATTTTTAGGTGTATGCTAAATTTTTAGGAAAGTAGGTGAATTTCAATTTTTTTAGGTATATGCTAATTTTTTAGGTTCCAGAAGAATTTTATGTCAGCGTCAAAGAAATACTAAACTTGCAAGAAGTAACAAAAAACAAAAGAAACGATATTGGAGGATAATTAGGAAACAAAGAAACGGTATTGGACTTGGATAATTAGGAAAGCATGTAAGTAGGTCGGACAAAAATACCCTTCCATATTTTTAGACAGTTTTAATTATTTTATCAAATTAAAAATAGTAAAAAACGTTAATTTGGGAGCACCGAAGCAATGCTCTATTAAAAAATGACTACGTAGAGAATCTTAGAATATCAAGCAATGGGCAGGTTGAATAAGTCCAATCTCTTTGTGGAAAATAAGCCAATAGCCAGTAATCAACACGTCATTAACAAAATTGCATTATTGAAGACTAACACACCATTGGATTTAAGTATTAAATAAGACCCAAAGAAAGTCATCACGGTAATAGAATATTAATCACATGGCGTGATTATTCTGATCTATAGTTATGCGATGGTACTGCATAAGCAGTGGTCAAGTTGAATAAATCTATTTCCTATGTATATTTAAGATTAAGTTTCGGCAGTTTTGGTGTATCATGACCAAAATATAGCACAATAATCAAAATGCCAGCACATCGTTGAAAGAATAACACATGATTAGACTTGAATATACTAGATAGATCATAGATCCAAAGCATAACATCGCTTTCTCCGTCATATATAGATATTTGCAGAAAGGTGTAACTTGTTCATGTCTTTATGCGAGTGATGAAGATGCATAGTTTTTCTAGCGGGAAGTTCACGCATGTTGCTGGCTGAACCGGTTAATTTTATTTATAGATGACTGGAATAGTCATTAAAAACTTACAAAAAATGAGGGGGTCCCAAACAAGTTTGAACTGTTTAAACAGCAGGATATTATAGCAACAACTTGTCTCACGCAAAATTGACCACGAAACCATGATGGATATGCGTTATAAATAATTAGATCTTAATTTTGGTCTGTTACAACTTGTTCTTAAATATATACTTATTTGAGAATAAGAAATATGAACGTTCACATGGGAACCTATTACCTCCATCTACAAATGCCTGAAAGATCAGAAAGTTTCAACCCTCATGTAGCAGATTATATTTCCTTTGCACATTCCCTAAGTATTAGCTTCAGCTCGCCTTCCTTCAAACATCCAATCCCCACCCACCTGCCCACTTCAGCTTGTTGCCCTCCTTCAGCAATCCCCACCCACCCACAATGGTTAGCGTGGATGATATTCTCTCTGTTGCCAAATGCATGGCAGGACCATTTTATGTTGTCTATTGGTATACACTTGGTCCTCTCATGTTCTACAAAGAAAAGATGAAAAAATTGAAAGATGAAGCAGAAGATCTACAAACCAAGATGGATGCCAAACTGAGAGATCTCCGCGAAGCCGAGAGGGATGGAAAGAGATCAGCACCAGAATTCAACTTGTGGAGGCAGAGGGCTGAAAAACTCTTAGGTGACTCTTGAAATTTCTGTTATTAATTTTTTTCCTTTTCAAAATCAATAGCACATTTAGCTTTGGTCAACACTATATGTGAGAATTTTTGAATACAGTTTATACTTAGTAGATTTGATATGGCAGTACATCTGTAGATATTAACATCTTGTTAGGTTGACATTTAAATTTGAGGTGAGAATATTTATCACTTTAGACTATTGTTTAGTCTGATACTTATATGTCACACATCAGTTCTCGTAAAGCCTATAATATTAAGCAGTCCGCATTATAAAGGAGAGGTTGCATGTGTTTGTTGGATAGCAGGTTCTTAATATGTTTCCTAATCTGTTTTGGTAACATGATTCCAAATCTGGTTTGGTAACCGGTTGTTAGGATTCCTAATCTGTTTTATTTTTTGTTTTAGAATTCTTAGTATGTTTATGATTTTAGGATATATATATATATATATATAATATTATATATATATAATTATAATATATATATATATATATATATATATATATATATATATATATAGTATATATAATAGTATATTATATATAATAATGAAGGGAGGGTTCTAAATAAAAACTAGAGAAACTAACAAACCATATCCTAAGCCGCTCCAATCAGTCTAATCCAGATGGCCTACGATTTGCGATGGCAGAATTATAAATATAGACCAATTTAATACACTGCATTAATGTGAAAAGGGTAAAATTGGAACATCAATTGCATTAATGGTGACGATTACATATTGGAAGGCAATGATACAAATTTAATAACGTCCTTTAATACTGCTCTCTTACATTAGTAGAGCAAATTTCCCTCACGTCTCCTCTCTCTCACCTCCATTTTCCCAATAGCTTGAACCACACCCCCTCTCTCATTCCTCTCCTCACACCCACAAACACCACTAACGTCCTCACCGAGCTCCTCCAACTGCCACTGCCGCTTGAGCTCCGCTCCGACGAACCGAAGCCGCTCTGGACTGAACGAAGCCGGCGAGTGAAATCCAGATTCCACTATGTCGAAATGCCAGATTCAGTGACTGAAACTCTGTTATCAAACAAAGCAAATCTCAAAACATGAAAAAAAAAAAAGAATAAGATAACTTATGGAGTTCACTAAAACCATCCTAACATCCGAATGCTTTCGCTGTAGTGACTCTGGATTCACTGGCAGTGAATCTCGATTCACTGCAGTGAATCTCGATTCAACATCAGTGAATCGGCCGATTCACTGAGGTGAATGCCAGATTCCACTGAGTGAATCATCGCGATTCGACTAGCAAGTGAATGCTGGATTCACTGAAGTGAAATCTGGATTCAGCTGCAGTGAATCTGGAATTCACTGGGCAGTGAATCTGGTTGCACGGCAGTGAATCGCGATTCAACGTCAGTGAATCGCGATTCAGCTGATGTGAACAGAATGCAGATTCGACTATGTGAATCCAGATTCACTGATGTGAAATCGAGATGGCGGAGGTCGTCGAGGAGGTTGAGCGGGCGGTAGCTTGGACGTGGAGGCGCTGCTGTCCGGAGGCGACGTGGTGGAGTTGGGATGAGGGCGAGGTCGGAGGCGGGATTTGGTTCGAGATGGCGAGACTCGGAGGTTGGTGATGGCCATGAGGACGGCCGATGGGTGGCGGCTGGAGTGGCGACGAGAGTAGGAGGGCGGCTTGGGAGGAGTTCGGTGCAGCAAGGGTGGGGCACGAGCTCAGAGCGAAGGGGCGGTGGGGAGCGCGGCGAGCTGAGGCGGCACAAGGTCGAGCTCAGTGGAGGGCGACGGTCGGCGCTTGATAGGATTTGATGGTGCGGTGGTGGATGGGTTTGCAATAAGAAGAGAATGGAGAAGAGAGAAGATGGGGGTGTACCGAGAAGGTGTGATTTTGGGAGACCTCACAGTCCACTTAATGGTACCTGCTCTCTGGAAGCTGATCAATTTACCTGATTACCCTTCATGCACGCATTATTGTCTTATAAATCTCAGCCATTGAATGAATCTCAATCCAACGGAGTGATAAGGGTTTTTAGTTTTTAGGATAGTGAGGTTTGCATTTGAACCTCTCGCCTATATATATATATTATATATACTATATATATATATATATTTTTACTATATATATATATATATATAATAATATATATATATATATAATGATATATAAACGTATATATATATATATATATATATATATATATTATTATATATATATATATATATATATATATATATATATAATTATATATAATATATATATATATATATATATATATATATATATATATATATATATAGAGAGAGAGAGAGAGAGAGAGAGAGAATAATTGGAAGAGAGAATTGAGAAGAAAGTTGAGGATATTTAGAGTACAGAAAAGAGGTATTTTCTGAGCTATTAGTTAGGGTTTTGTTTGGAGAGAATTAGAGATTTGTTGGTGAGATTAATTGGTGAGTTTGAGTGATTTGTAATCTCAGTTTATACTCTTCTTCTCTATTAGTGAAAAATTGTATCCCCTTCTTGCCCCGTGGACGTAGGCAACTTGTCGAACCACGTTAAAATTGGTTGTTTGTGTTTGTGGCATTGATTTGGCTCGTTTGGCCTTCTCTCGACGTTCGTTTGATTTGATTTCTCGTAGCACATTGGTTTGGTTGTTTGGCTTCTGCAATGCTCAACAAGTGGTATCAGAGATCGGGTTACGCTTGGGCTATTTGGAGGAGTAGGTCATTTTGGAGGCTCGTCTAGGGCATCGTTTGGTGATACAGGTGGGATCTTTTTGGTAAAGACTCTATCTTTTTTAGTTTTGGATCTATTCTTTATTTGTTCCACATTTGTTTTGGTGTTTTGAGAAAGATGGTCGGGAAAGAAGGAGTTGTTGAGGGTATTTCTGACGTGAAGACCGTCCAAAGTTTGAATATCTATTCTATAAAGATAGATGTGGAGAAGTTTAATGGCGCAAACAATTTTGGTCTTTAGAGATGTGAAGTTTTGGATGCGCTCAATGCGTAAAATTTGAAAGATACTTTGGAGTTAGACAAGAAACCGGACGACATTGAGGAGAAGGTTTGGAAAAAGATGATTAGAACGGCGTGTGGTGTGATTAGATCTTGTTTGACTGAAGATTTAAAATATGATGTGATCAATGAGACTTCGGCTAAGAAGATTTGGGAGATCCTAAAGGGAAAGTATTTGACCAAGAGTATAGAGAACCGCTTGCATTTGAAGAGGAGGCTTTATCGCTTCCAATTAAAGAAGAGGACCTCCATTGGTAATCACATGAATCACTACACGAAGGTTCTTACGGATTTGGCAAATGTAGATGTGATGATTGAAGATGAAAACAAGGCGTTGTTGTTGTTATTGAGTTCCTTGCCTAATGAGGAATATGAGACCTTCGTTCTTACTCTTATTAATGGGAAGGCATCTCTTTTCTTATAGTGAAGTCACCGCTGCACTTGTGAATTATCAGCTCCGAAAGAAGAATAATGAGACTTCAGTTGAGCCGATAGTGGGGGCATTGGTCGCAAGAGCAAAAAGTCCAAACTGTGGTAGGAGGTCACAGTCTAGAGGGGCACATCTTGGAGTTCGTAGGAATCAGTGTGCCTTTTGTAAAGAGGATAGACATTGGAAAGCCGAATGCCCAAAGTTGGTTGATCGAGCCGGGAAGAATAAGGCGAAAGCTATTCAATCTTCAGAGGTGAATGTTGTCAAGGCTAGTGGCAATAATTCAGATTCGGATTCTTCGGGCTATTTGTTATCTGCACTACCGTTAGTTTATGTTGCTGACTCTACAGAGTGGATGTTGCATTCGGGTGTTTCTTACCATATTTACCCTATGAGGGATTGGTTCTCTAGCTTTCAGAAGTTCGAAAGAGGGGAGGTCGTGCTCATAGGTAATGATCATGAATGTCCTATTTGTGGTATTGGTACCGTTCAGATTAGGATGAGTGACGGAGTGATTCAGGAGTTGGTTGGAGTGAGGTCCGTTCCTCAGTTGAAGAAGAACATCATTTCGCTTGGAGTTTTGGAGGCAGCAGGCTATAGGGTGACCTTGGTCGATTCACGTTTGAAGATCACATTAGGGTCCATGATTGTGATGAAGGGAGTCAGGAGAAACAATTTGTATTATTTGATTGGGAGCATGGTGTTTGATAGAGAGCTGATGACTTTTTTGTATTTGACTAAACTGTGGCATTTGTTGAGGCTGGGTTATTTGATTGGTTATGTCATGCATGGTTTGTTGAGGAGTGCTTTGACCTACAGATTGAAGTCCTTTGAGCATATTGGTATGAGCAAGAAGACTAGGGTGGAGTTTGGCACTTCTATCCGTCCATCGAGGGGTCTTTTAGGTGGTGTTCAGTCAGGCATTTGGGGACCTTCCAAGGAGGCATCATTGGGAGGTAATCGGTATTTGGTTTCCGTAGTTGGGGATTGTTCTAGACATTAATGGGTTGCAACCAGGCCCTGTTGGTGTGAAGTCCTAGAAGTCAACAACAATTGGAAGAAGTATATTGGCAGAAAGGTAAGCCGTCGTTCTAGCTTTGGTAGGGGTTCTTTCTTGCATTTGTGCCGAGCTTATGGCAGTTTGAGACACTTTATTGATGTGGAGACATTAGGACGACGAGATAAGATGACAGTTTTGATGGGTCGTTCCTTACTGGAGGGGGATCGGTGTTGGTTGTCGAGTATTGGTTTTGGTTTTGGAGCTTCGACATATTTGGGTCATCTTGGTCATAGGTTGCCGACTGCTGCGTGTGGAGATTTTGGATCTGGTAGAGCTGCTTTAGATTTTGGATTGTGTCGGATATTTGGTTGCCCAACATTTGGCCACATCAAGGATGTGAGATTTGATCCGATTGTACGTTTGGGATTCAGAGGTTCATTTGATTATCGGTTAGGAGCTTCTGATTTTTTTCTAAGCAAGTATGTCATATTTGACTCTCGGCAGGTGGAGAGTGTTGATCATATCATTGGGATATCACAGCGGGTGGAAGGTGATGCTACTTCATATTAGGTG